AATATTTCTGTTGGTACTATGGTACTAGTCAAGGAGGACTATCTGCCAATTTGCAAATGGATTTTAGGTCGGGTTATTAAAGTCTATCATGGATCTGACAATAAAGTAAGAACTGTTAAAATCAAAACAAAATTAGGAGAATTAAAAAAAGCGATCACAAAGATTGCCGTTCTTCCTGTAGAAAACTGAAATGATATTTTTGCATATGTATTGTATTTTGTTCTAGTATTGTAATAGCTGTAGTTATAGTAACAATATTATGTTGTTATTAGTGTGTTAATTTTGTTTTAAGAATGTTTGGTTTCTTGAAATTTTGTAATTTCAAACCGGTGTTAAATCCCTTTGAAGCCAGATTTACTGTTTACAAAAGAATGTTAATTACTTTTGAGTTTGCTTCAGTGGCGAAGTAGAGTGACAGTGGAATCCTGAGTGTCTTTCACAAATGAGTAAAATAAAGATGATGATAGTATCGTTTAGTTTGTTAATTAGTTTAATTAAGAGTTACAGTCCATTTAGAATTTAGCCGGACCACCGTATATTAGTATAAATTTTGAATAAAACTTAATGAGATTTAAAAACAGGTTCATAAATGTCCCTTCTTTTTTGGGGGGAAAAATTTATTTCAAAAATGTTCATCACGTTGTAGAATCATTAGGTTATATGAATGAGGAACGGGAAAAATCTGCAATGCTTTTGCCGGAATTCGAGTTCCGGATGCCCCGAATACGCCTCGAGCGTTCTTCCAGTTGCACCAAGGGGGCATGCGGAAAAGAGGGAGAAGATACCTTAAAGTATTATTTTATGTCATAAATGCAATGTAAAATACCGAAACAACAAACTTCCTCAAAGATTTATGTCCTTACTTCCTCAGATTGGACTATGGCCATTAAAAATCTCCTATTCCGATGGGCTCAGTCAGCTGTTCGGTCAAATAATCTAAATCTCTTGATCGATTTTATGATTTGAAGGCAGGTAAAGAGAGCATATTTAAACCAAATTCTTTATAATGACTCTTATGGCTACAGTTTAGAGGCTCGTTCTGAATGTCATTGAGCTGGAAGGATAGTCAAGGATTATCCTTCAAACAATAACACCGGAGCTGTTCTGACTTCAGCAAAGTTTCCTGGACTGCCAAGCACAGAGGATTATAGACATCGATCATGTGTTTGATGTTAACAAGATTTTGGTGGAAACATAACATAAAGTCTCGTAACATGATATGACAGTTCCATGATATGAGGCTGACCATTATGAATGATGTTTGATCTTGCTAGTGCGTTTGGTTTTGCATGGAATTAGATTTTTGGGAATTTCTAACCCTTCCTCTACTTTCATGTTATCTGAGAAAAAAGTCCAAAAACATAATTAACAAATGAACTGTTGTTAACACTTCTATATTTATTTATTGTTATTTTAGCGATTTTATTTATTTGTTTTCCACTACTCTTTCTTTTTTCTGTAATATATGAGTTGATTTGTTGCGCTTAAAGTTACTTATAGTCTACTGGGTTGTAGGGTTTATATTTATTTTAACTAACATTTATTTTAAGCTATCTTTCCTGTCAAGCCTTTACTTTCCCCTAGAATTGCCAATGCCAGAGTATGTAAATTTTAGTAGAACGCGCAGATTATTCAAATTTTAAGCAGAAGTAATTTGACTTAAATAGAAGGGAAACGAGATTTGTAAGTGTGCTTCTTGAATCACGAGCGTGAAGGTTGCTAGGTAGAAATTTAAGAACCGCGCGTTTCGACCTGTGTGCCTGCTTCGGCAGTTAATTCAGAAAGTTTGCTGAATCTCAGCTGTATCTTAGAACGCGGTTAAGATAGTTACAATTATAGAGCCTCGTAGATAGTGACTTCGTTAGTTATTCATCCTGTCATTCATTTTTAGTTGTACTTTCCTATTTTTGTTTAACCGCCGGGTCGGCGTAGCTTGTGAGCGTCGAGTGAACGCAACTGTGACTTCTAAAGTGAAATAAAAAGGGAGTTAAAACCCTTCTTAAGAGTCTGTGTAATTTCGAGTTCACAGCAGTCACTACTACTATTGCTGACAAGTTGGGGCCTCTCAACATCACAGGGTTTCAGAAGCTAGTATTTGGGTGCTAACTGATGTTTGGGTTCCAATAGACTGAGTTGATTTAGCACTTGTGGAGAAGGAGCAGAATATGAAGCAGACTGGATAGCCACTTCACCAGAATTTTCTTGTGTATGAATTATTTCCAAAGACCAGAATTTTCTTGTTCACTGCATAACATATTTTCTTTCTACATTTCTTTTAGTTTTATAGAATTAGAATTAAATTTCCACAAATGCATCCCAGCATCTTTAAGAATTTTAGCGGCAGTAGAAGGTAAATAGTACGCCTCTACATCTGAGTTTGAACCGGAAACTAAATCATCAGCATAGAGGGATGTGTGTAACATTTCATAAACTTTACAAAGTTCTTTCTTATATTTCTGAATATGACATTTGAATGCAGCAGCTAAAAATAAAGGGGCTACAAGTAACACCGAACGATACTTGCGTAAATCTTAGAATTTTGAAGTCAACTGTCATATCATCAAACCACAAATTTTCAGATAATTTCGGTCTTCTGGTGTTGAGCCAATTTGGAGAAAAGCATTCTCTAGATCCGCACAAAATGCGACTTCATGATTTCGAAAATGTATAATAATATCTAAAATGTTTGAGTTTAAATTGGACCTGGCCATAAATAATAATTTAAACTGACTTTCTTTTAAAGAAGCATCAAAGACCATCCTCACTTTACTGGTGGCTTTATCATCCCTCCTAACGAATCTATGCGGCATGAAGTAACCGTTCTCAATGTCATTATCTGAACATTCTTCAACTGCCTTATTTCTCTTTTGTTCAGTAACAATTTCTTTATATTGTTGTAGAAGTTCGTCATTCTTCGCGAGCTTACGATTTAATTCGAAGAAAAAAAAAGATTCTTTGCTATTTTAAAATTAGTCCCTAAGCCTTCCTTAGAGTCCTTCCACATCGAAAATTGATCGTCACTAACACCAACTGCTTCAAGGTCCCATTAATTTTTTTAAATATTCCTACTCTGCATTTGCAACAGCTAGCTTGAAAACCGAAGCATTTTTATTTTTCGCTTTTCATCATTATGCGTGGAACCACAAAATGACTATCCAAGTAAGTTTTCACACACGAAAAGCGATTTGGATTGTCCGTCCCTGGGTTGTTTATCTGCCAGAGATAATCGGCGCCTATCAATAGCTGTACTCGAAGGTTACAGAACGTATTCCAATGAGATAACTCGTATTTCTTTAATTTGCTTTTGGCATCTACGTTTAGTGTAGGTGGATAAATTATCGCGGTAGAAATTTTATCTGTAACCAACGTCTCAATACATATATTTAGTTCGCGGAATTTCACGTTCTGTAATGTAACCTTGACAACGTCATAAATATTTTCTTTTAATCTCGCCAAAAGAGTATATTATCAATTTTTCCTTTCTGACAACTTGGGATTTTAATTACGATATTCTTTCGTAATAAATGTTTGCTGACTACTACTGTCAAAAAGACATAGATCAAATTTTGATTTTAAATCGGATGATATTTTTAGGCAACATGTTTGCAATATAACTTTATTAAATAAATCTAAGTTTTTAATCTCACATTGAGAAACGGAAGTTACTATGGTATCACTTTCGCTTTTAGAAACTTTGGGAGGCCTTTCTTTTGGTTTCATTCATATCGAAACATTATGAAACAAACTACCACATATTTTACAATACTCATTTAGAAATTTACACTTCGCAGCAATATGGAATACTAAAACATACAAAACATTTCCCTTCGTTCTTTAGTTTTTTACGCTTCTCAGGAATCGAAAGCGATTCACAGAAATTGGTATTATGTTCTGAACTGCTTCAAAAGAAACAGTTATTCTTACACTAGTTGACAAAACAGATGCTATAGGAATATTACGTTTAAAATTTTAGTTTCTATATTTTTCTGGTTTATCATGAAATATCTTTACGGAACTATTCAAATGCATCGTAACTTCACGTGATTCTATTTCTTCTTTAATAAAGGATATTAGTTCATTGATGTCCCAGTCCGAACTTTTGACGCGTTTTATATTAAATTCTAAAGCAATATCTGATGGAATCAATTTAAATACAATTGAGCATAATAAATGACCATAACTTCCATATGCAACCCCTAAAGAGTTTAAACTACGAATCTGAATTTCACAGTTGTCATAGAGCTCCTTCGAAGCTCTTACGTTAGAAGAATATTTGCAGGAATAAAATTCAAAAGCTTATTCATATGGGCGTTAATAACGACATCGGTTATACCAAACCGTTCTTTCAAAAGGACGATAATTTGCATTAGTTAATGAAAATCCAGATACAGCATTAGCTGCACTTCCACCTAGCAGTGATTTCAAATAGAAAAATTTATCAACTGGTATTAAATGCTCATTGGATCTATATCATTTGAAAACTGGCTCCAAAACTCAAGCCATAAGCAAGAACCATCACAATATTTTTCGATTATAAGCTTTAGAAGCTTCATAAAATAATGTCCAGTGTTATAACTCGGAACACTATTTTCACTACTTAAAACACTAGAACCATGAGATTAGTTTGAGGGTTAGAGCTCAAATTTGTATCTAAATACTGAGTAATTCTCTTTTTCTATTCAATATTTTTTTTCATTGTAATCTTCAACAACTTCAATTTCGGATTCAATATCTTCAAGTGTTAAACCCCACTCGATTTCACAATTTAGTTGTTAAAGACCATCATACTTTTCAATTCATTGCTCTTTGAAAACACTTAATTGATCAATTTTTTGTTCACCAGTCATTTCCGACGTTTTCGTTAAAATAGCTTCAATTTTTGTTATTATTTTTGCAATAGCGGGTTCCGCTGCGCGTTTCCGCTTCAATTTATCAAGACTGTCCATTACTTTTATACTATATATCAAAATGTATCAAATTATAAATAAGCATGCACTTACCTGATAAATTTTGAATTAAGAACTTACAATCCTGTTGCCTAGTAACCAGAAAATGAAGCAGCATTTTGCACTTCCAAGCAAGTTAGTCTAGTAATTCTTACCGCGCAAAAACTGTTCAATAAAGCCACTTCAGTCTGTGAACCTTCGAACTAACTCATTGACTAAAACTGTATATAAAATTTATTTACAACATGTTAGCTATCCTAAATTAGTCTCAAAACGAGAGCTCAAAATCACTACTACCGACTCAGTCGGTTCTTGCAACAATTTTTACAGAACAGAATGCAACAAGGTTGCCACAAAAGTATACAAAACCAAATATTCTCTTCAGCGCCGCCTAACGGCCAAACCGGCAGTCACAACAACCACGCCCCTCATTTACTAGGACCCTGTTTTTTCCTTTGTGACACCGGTCTCCACGCACGGAAAACATGTAAAAAGTTTACTCATCACTCGAAAACTAGAGACAAGAGCTGTAACAGTTTCTCATGACGAGCCCCAACCTCCAAGAAGAAAAACTGCAAGATATTATTTTATTTTTATATTATATTTTAAAATAACCACTCTATTATTAGTGCAAAGGGGTTTGTCCCTAAAGGACTATTGTTTTCGTTATGCGATTTTGCCTTGAATCACTATAAATGTCCGTTTCACTTTTCAAACTGTTGCCACCCAATGTTAGAGTCCTGCATTATATTTGAAGAAATTAAATAATGAAAAATCTGCATAAATGTATGTATATTTCTCGCATTGTGATAAAACAACGGTACATAGAGCCATCGAATTTTGAATGACGTAATCCTCCTACGAATATGGGCATGTGGAAAACCAAATTTGAAATTTGGAATTTGTTTTATGCTCGATTTCATATTTTGTTAAACTTTAACGAATTTTTTAGTAGCAAACTGGACGATTTAAAAGCGAGCAATGGCAACACTCCGCGGCGGGTAAAAGAAACCTTTTATCTCCGCGGCCGCGGAACTGTGTATCGGAAATTCTAAAGATAGGCTGATTTTAAAATTATTTTGCGACATTACTACTGAACTGAATTTTATGTTTAAGTGCAAAGAACATGATATATAATAAATAAAGGTAACGCACAAAACGTTAAAAAAACATCCCTTTGGACGTAATTTAAAATCTGAAACCTTTCAGATTTTTTTAAAATTTTATTTTATTTTTTTATTCATAATAATAATGTGTGTATGTGTATTTAATTATGGCAAAGCACACGAGGGCTATCTGCCTAAGAGGAGGGATGCCTTCGTGGAGGACTTTCTAGGGGAAACTGGCTCGTATACGCGTTACACATGGGGAAAACCACGAGGGCGCCCATGCAGCCAGCCCGTTCACTGGATTTGAACCTCGGACCGAACTACCAGTGTTTAGCGACTTTACCGCTCGGCCGCTGGTGGGCCCATAATAATAATGATAAATTAATATCGGGTCTTCGAGGTGCATATATTCGAGTACAGGGCAACATATGTTCAAAATCTAGCGGCCCTGGATGATGCTGTTCTTCCACATTCCGAAGAAAATACAAACATACATATATAATTACACATTTTTCGTTTTTTGCTGCCTTTTTGAATAAGAGCTCTGCCAGTAGTGTAGTGGCCCAAGTATTGCATGAGAAATAATTATTTGTTATTTCATATATTTATTTGTTCATGTGTTTAATTATTTTATAAAATTAACTTTAATATTTTGTTAATATTCATATTTATATTTCTTTTATGCTGAATGGCAACAAGTAGTTCATATTTATATTTAAATTTCTTTATGCTGAATGGCAACTAATTCTGATTCATGGTTGCTAGGTTTAGGTTTCAAAACGTTGCTGTGCTAGTAGCGTCGCATTTCGATAGCTGGAAAATAAAAAGCAATAAACTTGGCTATTTGTTTATAATTCATGCTGTTCCTAATCATAAATTAATTTTAAACATTAGTAGCCAAGGCAACATCGTGGTGACCCTGCTGACAACAGTAACTTGCAGCGACCGCACTGAAATTCGGATGTGAATCAAAAACATTCTCGCACAGGCAGAACTATACGTTTACCTGTTAGATTTAAGGACGGACTCTAAATTATTCTTATTAATTAGTGGTTAACACTGCAATCCTAGTTACTACCTACTTCTCCATCTTCGTGACGTAACTTAGTTACTGGTGGGGGAGTAGTGTAGTGGCATAAGTACTGCATGAGAAATAATTATTTATTATTTCATATATTTATTTGTTCATGTGTTTAATTATTTTATAAAATTAACTTTAATATTTTGTTAATATTCATATTTATATTTCTTTTATGCTGATGGCAACAAGTAGTTCATATTTATATTTAAATTTCTTTATGCTGAAAGGCAACTAATTCTGATTCATGGTTGCTAGGTTTTGGTTTCAAAACGTTGCTGTGCTAGTAGCGTCGCATTTCGATAGCTGGGAAATAAAAAGCAATAAACTTGGTTATTTGTTTATAATTCATGCTGTTCCTAATCATAAATTAATTTTAAACATTAGTAGCCAAGGCCACAGTAGTGATCTTTTTTTTTAGCCCGTTTTCCTCCCCAGGTGTATTTGGGAAAAGTTTGGCTTTAGGCGCAGTCGACAATTTTAATGGAATAGTTTCGTTGAAAGGCAGAAATCCAGACTTGCCGAGGTGTAAAATGAACTTCATATTTACGTCAGAAGGAAATGACCGAGTGGACAGGTTGATATCTTGGATACTCTGCGCTTTCTTTCTGCACTGGGGAGGGGGAGATGCAATAGCTTCCAAATGGACTTCGTCGTTATGGGCTATAGCTACTATTTCTGCCCTTGCCTTTTTACTGCATTCTGTTGCAGAGTATTGACAGGCGTTGTCATCGCATCTCTTCCTGTGTTAACTCTCCTCTGAGAGATTGTGCTTATGAGGGGAAACAAGACGTAGAAGAAAGTCATGGGTGTCCGCATCAGTTTCTTTAAAAAAATAAACACATACAAATATGTTTAAAGACTGATAGTTTGGATTATCCCTGTTTTTCAGTTACCCGTGACCAGCTTCCTCGGCTTTAGTCCGGATAATCAAGAGTATTTAAATTTTATATTATTTTTATAAACTATTATTATTTATTATTGCTTAGTATTTAATACATATTGTTATTTAAAATATATATTATTTCTGTACCGAGTTCATTAATTGATTAATTTACAATTTTTATCATTTCTATATTTTAAAATTAAATAGGCTAACTAGACCAATCTTCAAAAGCACTCAATTTGCTTTCATTTAAGGTATATAATTCTCAAAAAATTTCATCTGCGCTTTTTTTTTTTTTTTTAGAAATAAAATTGTAATTCAATAACCGATGTATTTAAAATTTCTGTGAAATTTTAAAATCAAATATGCTAACTAGACAAATCTTCAAAAGCTTTCAATTTGCTTTCATTTAAGGTATATAATTCTCAAAACATTTTATCTGCCCTTATTCTTTAGAAATGGAATTCTAATTCAATAACCGATATATTTAAAATGTTTGTTTGTTACTTGTTTTGTACTTATTACGTGCTCCGCCTCAGGCACTACACGGCAAGAGAGGAATGCGCCGTGGAGGTCTTTTTAAAAGAAAAATCGCTCGTATCCACGTTATATATGGGGAAAGGCACGAAAACGGCCGTGCGGCCAACCTGTTCGCCGGGACTCGAGCCCCGGACCGAACTACCAGTATTCAGCGGCTTTTTACCTCTCGGCTGCTGGTGGGCCTTACTTATTATTAGCATTATTGTTTCTTGTTATTTAACATTTATTATATACCGTATCCACAAAAGTCTTTACCTGGTGTTTAATTTCTAAAACTGTTGGTCGTAGGCTTATACTTACAAAAATACACTCATGTTCATAAATTAAGGATAATGCAAAATCAGGCAAAGGAAGAGTTAGAACCAAAACAAATTTGATTTATTTGTAAAGTTTATTTATTAAACAAAAGGTAAAGAGCAAAAAAAGATGCTATATGTTTGATATTATTAAAAAAATCTGATGTGTACACCACATGACTTCCTTGTACGGAATATTAAATTATACGCATTTTTCTTGCATTTCATTTAAACTTATTAGATTGATTAAACCTACTTCGCCGACAGCGCATAAACCACAATAGAATAAATGCTTTAAAATTCACTTTGTTTACCATAGCGACACTCTGACGCTAGGTTTACTTAACAGTATTATATTTCATTCATTATAACTCAGAATGCACAAATGTATATCATTTAAAGAATTATCTAATCATTGCCACATGTTCTATTCAAATACTATAAAGCTACTATGTATAAAAGAAAGTCAGCAAACAAATCAAACCAGAAACAGTTTTCACAGACGATTGCGTATGTCTCATTTAATTGATTCAGTTCTCACGCGAGAAGGCCAAAATACAGAAAAACTCAAAAATCTATATTAAAAATTACGAAGGTAAACCTCAAACGCTTATTTCCTCGAAAAATTCCAGAAAGAAGGAATTAGGCATGTTAAGGCAATAAAATGAACGTTATCTTTGTTGTTGCGAAGCTAAGGGGCTAGATTGGCAACAAATCCACTAGTCTCTGTTTCGAATGTAAAACATCAATGGGCCTTAAAAACAGGCTTTAAATTAAACAAATTAAAATGCTGATAATTCTAAAAATATTGCACACAGATTACTAAAGGCATAAAATCCTTAACCGGAAGATAAAAACAACATAATTCAATCATTTTAAAGCAAAAATGTACAATTTACAAACATATAAGAGTAAAGAAACTGAGATAACTGAGCCGGGTAATAGAGTGGATATATATATAAATTATTATAACGTTTGGGGGCTGCCGATTGCAACCAAAACCAGGTGCACATCTACATGTTATAGCAGTCCCATATACAAAATTCAACGTTCTGAGGCTACTCGTTTTGAGTTATGCGAGATACGTACGTACGCACGTACGTACATACGTTCGTATAGACGCCACGAAAAATTCTCTTCAGAATCATTTTAAAGCAGTTTTATAATTTTTTTTGAAGGAAAAGAGTATTTTATTCTCTCCTTACGTACAGACTGACGCAAAACATCGTTAAATTGCATTCGATAGCGGTCAAAATGGATATTTTCGTTGAAATATGCTGCCTGAAACTTTTCGCTATTACAATACTTCCTTTTCACTTCGTACAAGGAAGTAAAAATTGCATTCGATAGCGGTCAAAATGGATATTTTTGTTGAAATA